CAGAACCTTGTATGTCTTCCCAAAAGATGGCAGTGGGTGGCCTGCTAAATGGTTAAATGTGTTCTTTTTTTTATTATTTATTTTTTTAAAAAAAGCATGTTAAACAACCCAGATCAGAGTTTCAGCAGTAAAAAAAAAAACTAGAGCTGTTTTGCTATAGAAGGTGAGACTGAAATTGTTGGCTGTCTTCAACCAGTTAATTGTACTGATCAGTCACGTTCCTGTAAGCCGTTTATTCCTGACATAAGGGTCGCATCAATATCCTAGTCAGCTCATTCATTCGCAGCAGGAAAAGAAAGATGAACAAAGTGTGAATCGGAGAAGCACAAGTTCGGCACCTATTCTCTGATGAACGTGTGTGCCGTTGCAGGATATAACTGGATATGTCAGAATTTAAGAAACTGGGAAGAAATGGTTAGATCCAAAAATAAAAGAAGATCAGCCAGAGGTTCTGGGGCATGAAGACATTTGGTAGAGTGGCACTAAGAGAAAGAATGAACCACTGTCTGTGAAAGAAGTTGTTTTGCCGTGTTGATGTCCTGCTCATCAACCTTTCTCAGACTTTTAAATTCCCAAATAAACTTGCTATTTTTTTTAAACAACTTGGCAGTGTATCAATAAATCATGACTTGTAAACACAACTAATCACTGTGCCCTTTAGAATGAACACATGCGACAAGACTAAACCTGAACTTTCCATTATCAGCAGTCAAAACAAAATGCTTTGCTGGCTTATTACTCCTGTGTAATTTCTTAGCAGATGCCAAAGTAACTTACATAATACTAACATATCTGGATACATTAATGTTAACTGGATATTTTCCTGAAGCAATTCAGGTGCAGAACCTTCTTCAAAGGTCCCCAAGGAACATAAATGCTTTGGATCACAAGGTCACTATATTTAGTCATACACAACTTGCTTCTTGTTTGTGAATATACAGACGCTCCTCTACCTACGAACTTTCAACTTACGAACTTTCAGACATACCAACGAAGAGGACTGTAAGTCCAAACTCCTATTTCCTGTTTCCTGTTCGAAACATCAATTTTTTTTTCTGCGCGCCAATTCTGCCTAGTACGACTTCTGGCTGCTACTCCTGCCGTGCAGAAGCGCAGCGTGCAAACTCCCAGCATCCTAGTTCTTTGTACTTGCGTATACGCTTAAGATGACGTTGAATAATAAGTTACGAACGGCCGTTCGGAACATAACTCATTCCTAAGTAGAGGAGCATCTGTATATAATTAAACAGATTATAACATTAAAGTCACTATGGTGTGGAATTTCAAAATACATGCATAAGAATAAGTTAAAAGTTTGACTTATGTATTTGATACAGCAAAACAGTGACAATTTTTAAGCAGTTTTATTTGGTATGGTAATATTTGTGCCCATTATTAAAATGAGTGACTTTAATAGGTGTGATTCAGTCAGGAGATTTTGGGCCCCATGAAGGCATATCATATTGGGCCCCCAACCCAGAACAATCAATCATGTCCCATTTTTTTAGCGCCCCCTTATGGCACCCCTGGATTCGGTTATAAGATTTTAGTTCTATATTTCACAATAATTTAATAGAAATATGAACTGTCTACCAAATACTTTTTGGGTTTATTTTTATGCCGATATAGTGATGCTGATGCTACAAAGATTCTTTTCTAAAATTAAAATTCCCACTATAGTAACTTGTAATGACATGTGAATTATAGGAGGGTTTGCTGCACTTACGCTCTGCAGTATTTGTGCATAGCTGTTTTATGACATAGTAATTACATATGCATAAGGGCTGTCAGCATTCTCAGATGAACTTGTAATGGTGCAGGTGCAACTCAAGGAAAGATGAAAGACCAAACGAAAGTCAGCCGGGATGACGACGCCGTCTGAGAAGTTCTGCCGTCGTTGGTGATATCAAAATAAATGCAGAGTGCACTTATTCTTGTTGACAGACGCCTACTCAGAGATGGGCCCTGCCCACCTGTCCATCCTTTCAAGCAGTTCTGGCTGACTAAAGGAGGTCAGATATGCGCTGACTTACTTTCTGCGTGTCGAGCCTCGAGTTAGCGACTCGCGCCGACCTTGAAATCTCCAGTGAGGAAACTGCCGAACCTCTTCGCTGCGGAGTTAGCTGTCGTGACGGACGTGCGCGAAATTCCTCGCGGAGAGCAGAAGTTTTGGGATGCCGTGTAGGCGGCTGACGGCGGCGGTGACAGCAGCTAGTCATCGTGTGTGGCGGCCAGAGGCTGCTAGAACTGCCAGCACTTAAAATCAAGTGCTTTTTTTTCTCTTTCTTTCTACGAAGCACAAGACACGTTTGTGGTCTTTATTTTTATTTTTTCAAATTTTACTGCAATATCTGGGCACAAACCTTGCCTTGCCCTGACATGTTTTACTAACAGTACACTCATGCAACTGTGATTATCTTGACAACAAAACGTGTTATGAAAACCAGACCAAATTATATTTTGCTAGTTATTAATGCACTGCTTTACTTTCAGCAACGTCTTGAAGCCAAATGGACTTGTTTTCTCTTTTTTATGTTATATTTGTCAGGTCAGTTTACTAGTGTGGTAAATACAGTCACTCTCTTATTTCATGCTGTTACAATGCAACAAAGAATATAACATAATCCTTAGGGGCAAAGCATTAATCGTTTAATTACAATGGCATGTGCAAACAGTACATGGAGATAAAAAAGGCACTTGTTTGTTGGCACGGGCTTGCAGAATTTAACCTTTCTTTAATTGACGCAGCCATTTGCGTTGGCCATAACTTCACAACAGAAGACCGTAAAACCACAGACAGAGCTGGACCTGTGTGAGACTCGCTTGTTGTCTGAGGTGTAAAATTGAGCATTTAAGTAATCCAAGTAAAAAATAGCAAGATGGCAAGTATCTGAAAGGCTTCATACCGGTGAAGTTCTCACTTAATGCATGCAAATATAATTACCTTCTTGAAGGGTTACTACCAAAAATGCAGTTCTGAGTTTGTGCCCTAAATATCTGCATTTATCCTATCATTAGTTGTGTCTTTAGGATCTTGGGCAGCACTGTGGAATCACACTGATACATATGCATATATACAGTATATATATGTATATATATAGTAGTCATGTCTGTATTATGTATACGTATATACATACAGTCATTTGACCTCTTACCCTCTTTTATATAACATGCAAAATATCAAAATAGATCTAGAGAGAGCTGGAGCGGCCAAAAAAGGGAATCCACCCGCAGATATTCTACTGCGGTTTGCAATTCTTTATGGAAAACTGCTGCAGACTGTAGACAGACTATTACTTAACTGAGAAGAAAATGTAGAATAAATGAAAGCAGTATGGACGAAAGTTTATTTATTTTTTTATCAGAGCTTACTTGGAAATCTCTCAGATAGAAATGGGATGTGTTTTTAGGAGAAACCTGAAACAGCGCAAGCTAAAAAAAGCGGAGAGGGCTGGGAACTTGCCCCACGCGGAGCGAAGGAAATCTGCAGGATCATCGCAGTCAGGGAGGTTATCTTCCCTTTGACAATATCTGTTGCTCTTTTATCTTCACCAAAACTCAGCAGAAAGGCAGAGACATCTAGCAGGCATGATGCGGCGCATCAGTTAAGTTTATTTTGTCTGCAATCACGGGGAATAAAATACTACTGGATACACAAATGATGGAAAAAAAAACCTTTTATTCCAGTAAGTTGAAAAGACAAACAATGGATTACTTTGTTGCCTTTCGCAGAGACAGAGCTTTTGGTGAAGACAGAGGCATGTTAGTTTAGCAGATAGTTGCACTGCTCTCTAGTGCCAAACCTAAACAAATTCCATTTCAGAGAGCTCACCTCTACGGTTTGCCCCTATCTTTGTTTCCATCTCAACCACAGTCACTTGACGTTTAGGGAAGGGCCTGGGCTGGGTTCAGCTCTTATTTTTGTGGTTGCTGGAATACATGCTGCATCAATTTTTTTTCTTACCCAAATCCAATGAAGGGATTCTGATTGCAGAGATAATTCATTATATAATATGTAGCTGAAGTCTTCATTGTATTTGGACATGAGATTACTACATTTTCTATTAACTCTCAAGATAAGACCGAGGTATGCTTAATATTTTGGTAAAAAAAATAATAGGTAGGTTGAATAAGTTATGGTGCTCAGGATGACTCTGGGTTTAGACTGCTTTTAGTTGTCTAGACTCAGTAAAGTCTCATGAACCTGTCTGTTGCATGTCATTAAAGAACTGCAGAATTGGACACAATGAGACTATAATGCACAAGGTCATTCTTCTTGTTGTTAAAAAAAGCGACTTACTTTATGCCAAGCAAGTGATTCCTGGCACTGGAGAGTAGCATCAAAAAAACATTGCATGGTTTAGTGCAGGAGGGAAACCTGTTAGGGGTGACTATATGCTCTTGGCAGTGTACGGCAAAGCAACACAGAACTGGAGAGGCTGAGTGGAACACAGAAAGAGGGCACACGACCTGCCCCCACGTCTGGCACCATTTAATAGTATCTTTAGGCAAGATTTTCCAATGGTTTGTAAGCAGAAATTATGACTCATTGGATTCAGTTACGTAGTTTACAGTATTTGCATTCAGGGTTGGTGGGAAAATGACTTCAGACTTAAATATCTGATGAATCTTGCAATTAGCATTTTTCTCAAAGATGTATTGTAATGGTAGTAAGCCATGTCATGATAGTGCTTGTCCTGTTTTCCAGAATGAATTCTAATTCAGAGATGAGAGCATATTTAATCTACATAAATCCCTTTATAACGGCATAATGTGTCTTTTTAAATTAAAATGTGAAAAGAATGTGAAAATTAAAATTCTTCTATGCCACTCTGCTACCAGATATTGGAGAAAATTGGGATAATTTCATTTAGCAGATAATTAAGCTAAACGGTAGTTCAGATTTATGGCTTTTCTGGAGGACAGAAACAAACAAAAAGCTTCTGCACAGGAGTTGAGCAGCTTGGTAAGAGAATGTGATCAATTCTGAATCCACGCAGGCAGAAAACCATCGCGTGGACCCACTGGGATCATGGAAGGTGTTTGTGGAGCGACCAGTAGGTAACTTCCCAGGCAAGTGCAAGAAGAGGAAAAGACCACTGGTAAGTGTCAGGGCACGATGTTGCAGGAGCTCACGCCAAGCATAGACTCTCCAGATCTCACATCAGTTCTTCCAGCATTCAGTTCCTTTAGGCAGGTCGTGAGTTTCCGGCTGTTGAATACTCTCTTGTACATTTTCTAATATGATACACGTACACTAAGATTTTCATTGTAATGAAATGAAATTAAGTTTTATTAGCCAGTCGCACAAGTACGAGTACAGTGACATTCTGCAGTTTTCACATATCCCTCCTTACTCTTTGCCACATTCACACACACACACACATATATAGATGAGAGTGAGACTTGGGGTCGAAGTGCACGATCAGCCGTTTATCTGGCATTTCGGAGCTTTATGCTGCATGTCATGGCTGTAGCCATACAGGCGTCATAACTCGATAAATAGATTTAATATGCACTTACAACAACCACATTAAAATATCGTTTACTGTCTGCCTAGTCCTGTTGGTTCCAGGTAGACATGGTCAAAATTGGTTCCCTTATATTCAAAAATTACACTTAATGCTCTTTGATGAGACTGAAATTCTCTGTAAAACACACTGCTTGGAGCTGAGAACTCAATACCTCACTGCCTTTTCTCACTTTTCTTAATAACATAATGACTAATTCATTTTCACTTCTACCAAGTAGCTCAGATATTTCTGACCTTTTTAGGACAAGGCTAATAAAAATGATAAGAACTTGTGTGTTTATGTACATATAAAATGTCTCTGAATTTTATTGGATGACTTGATCATATAAAACCGTCGGACTTGGTTCCAGATTAGTTCAGCTTACATGGAACCCTGGTGGCAGTCATGCTGTAGACTCATATGGAGGATTGATGTATTTGTGTCTATAGCCAGGACCCCCCGGGCCACCCGGACCCCCCGGACCCCAGGGTCCCCCGGGATCACCTGGGGCGGAGATAACCCAGGAGGTCCTGCTCAAGGAGTTCAGGGAGATGATCAAAGGTATGTGAGCAGCTGCCTATTAATGCCAAGTATGTCCTGTTTATCCTACTGCTGTCTAGAAGGAGGCACAGAAGCCTCACCCAGTCGTTCTTTTACTGCAATAATCGATGCTGTAAATGCTCATTATTTAAGCCACTTTTATTACTTAGCACTATATATAGCACTTTTGGACTGTTTTGCAGTTTTAGATAAGATTCCAAACTAGATTTTGTCGTCTGAGTGTTTGAACTTTGTGCAATGACATTAAAATGATAAAATGACATTAAAGTTGAATCTAATCTCTATTGCTAAAATGGACATCTGAATATTTTTGCTACGTCACACGGAGTTTGATGGTCTCCTTGTAACTGAGCCTCTTGTACGCTCTTACTTCAGAGGCAACAGAGAGACGTGCAGCCATGGACAGACAAGTCGGTCCCAGCCAGCTGCCCCCTGCCCTCATCGCCTTGGATGGCCTGTCCTCCTACCGCAGAGTAGAAGAGGCTTTCCATTGCAAGCTGAAGGGGCCGGTGGCCGTGGACAAGAAGACGCTGACGGAGCTACAGGACTTCCAGACGGTAAGCTGAGGAGCAAAGGATAACGCTCACGCTGGCTTTCCCCAATGACCTTCAGCTGGGAGGACAATTCAGATCTCGAAAGTCCTTCTAATAAACAGTCAAAAGATATCTTGGCAGTGTTCGGTTTTCAGAATAGAGTCATTTATTTTAATTGCAAAACACACAATATTTCCTGGCGTCGGGACATGGCAACGGTAGACTGTGTCATCCCTACAAGCTGTGAGACACCCGCACAGGAGATAAACAGGATCACCTCATCCGGGCCTGAAGACGTAGAGTCAAGCCAGTGCTTAGATGAGCTCCCTTCTCAGAAATGCTCTGCTGCTGGGCACTCCACATCAGTTTCGCTGGGGTACACAAAAGGCACTCTGTCTGGGACTATATAGCAGAAAGCAGGGTAAAAATAGAGCCGGCCCGAAACCGCATGTTGGAGTGGAACAGTTCTGTCCCGTGACATGCTGACGAAGGTACTAGAGGGTGGTAAGGCACTCACATAAACCAAATATTAAAATAATAATAAGAATTTTGACATCTGCCTTTGAGTAGACATGGCATAATAAAGTATGCCTCTGGTCAGCATCAGCAGAATAGAAAAGGCATGCATGTAACGTTCCATATATGAATCAGCAAATTAAATATATAAAATGTTTATATGAATATATACATATTTTGCCACAGCTCAAATTTTTAGTCATAAGAGACACCGGGGACAATTGTCAAATGTGGTTAGTTGAGCAGACTTTTAACGCACTTCAGCAAGCTACGCGCCCCTCCACCTCTGCTAGCTTAAGGCTCCTAGCGAAAGCACTGATGCTTATGAAACCTGTCAGAGTAAAAGTACACAGATTAATGAGTAAATAGATACCAGATTCGATTTAGCAGTTGTCCCCGTCTCCCCTATGCATGTTCGGTTGCCAAATGTTGCTCACGAAATCACCGCTCTGTGTGGCTCAGACAGTAGCATTGTTGTCACACATCTTGCTGGTTGGGGGTTTATCTGCAGCCCTTACTGCCTGTGGAGTTTACTTCTCGGGTTCATTCCAGGTCCTTCAGTACATTACAGTTCCTGGTTTCACAGTCCAAAAACTCACTCACTAGATATATTGCTGTCGTCTTGTCTTTATTATATATGAATGTGTTTGTGAGTGCCCTAATATAAACGGCCATTCCTGCCCAGGGTGGACTCTGTCTCATATAAATCTTTCACGTCTTAATAGAAGTTCTGGACCATCACTGATAGTTTTAATGTGTGGCTACACAGTGGGATTCTAGGCATATGTAAGCATGCAAGCGTGTGATTATGTATTTCAACACAACTGGCATTTAGGTATCAACCAGGTCCTTACACTTTATTTCTGTGTGTGTGTGTGTGTTCGAGCGGGTGTGTGTGTGTGCATCCGTGTGTGTGTGTGTGTGTGTATGCGTGTGTGTGTGTGTGCATGCGTGTGTGTGCATGTGAATGCATGTGTGTGTGCGTGTGTGTGCATGCATGTGTGTGTGCGAGCGGGTGTGTGTGTGTGTGAGTGGGTGTGTGTGTGTGTGTGTGTGTGTGTATTGTTTGGTCTTGGCTCCTACACCGAAGTCTGTAGCTCATCTCACATAGACAAACCTCTGTTGCCAGGTTCCTGACAAGGACCAAGGTCTGATACCATATAGAGTAAAACCCCAGGTTTAAAACAGTTGGCTCTCTGCTTCTCTGTGAGAAATTAATCAACATTTTTTTGACTTTGAAGTCCCCTTATGGTCTGGCAGACGTGGTTCTGAAACAACGAAGCCATGCATTTCATATTGCTAGAGGCTGATTTTGTTAGTTGTAGTTTGTAGATGGAAACACTTCTGGAAGAACTGCCTTGTTATAATCAGTTCCTTAGGCTACTAAGGAGAAATATAAAAATAAACTTGTTGATTCATCCATGGAAACCCAAGGCAATTTTCACTTTTGTGCATAATAACAATTTAAGTCTAAAGAATTTAACTTATTTCATTTTTTTTTTCATTGTTTAAAGTGGACTATAGATAATTTGAAGCTTTCAGAAAATAACATATTTATATACAGTAATTTTTTTGGATCTTTATTATTAGCCAAAAATATATTACTGGCTTTAATATCTTACATTAAATAGTACATATTTATCATGATAAAGAAGTATTATATATGCACCATACATTATAATGGATATATCATGATATAGTACCAACTAGCTGGGAAGTGCACATGTTGAATTTAATATCTCACTGTATTCCTTTCTGGAAACTTCCCAAATTTTTCTCCTTCTTTTTGTTTATATATGGTTTTCCAACGCAGCCCTCAGATTCTTCTTTGCTCTGAGGGACATTATCTTTAAAAGGGAGTATTGAATGTACTGTATTTATGTAAACATGCTGAAAAAGCACATATATGATTTTTTTAACATTGTGTGGGTAGACTTTTTATGTTATGGCATGGCTATGGATGCGAGGATCGTAAGCTCTTTTCTGTAGTGGAGAAAATGGCTCCTGCACACTACTGAAAAAAGGCATGTTGATTTCAGGCCTGTTCATCACATTCTCTGCTGTCCTCATGATAATTATGACCTTTTTTTTTGCACTGAATGGGATGCTGTTCCTGTATCTGACGTCATATGCCTGTTCCTTGAGCTGTAAAAGACAAAAATCACAATAAAAACAGTGAAACTATCAGACGGAGACAGACCCTTTGATGTACCCAGCTAATTCAGATATGTTTTGACTGGCTTTGTCTGCAAGTTTTGAACCAAGCACAAAATAAAAAGCAAGGGCGGGGAATGAAATTAAGTGTTCTCATATAGCATCTGTGTGTGTCTGTGTGAATCTGTTCTCCGCTCATCTGTTAATTCCTGCTAGTGCTATAATTACGGTCTATGTGCTGCGGACAGGCCTGCTCAGCCGGGTGTGTCTAATTGAGAGAGATTCTGCGGGCACTCTAGAGATACCCACACCCATTTAACAGCCTCAGCCCCGGAGAAAACCCCAGAGACGATGAGACTCCCAAGTATTTACTGCTGCCTTGCAGGAGTTAAAATCCACACAAGAGCTGGAGTCAGTGTGCTCTCGTCACGTAATTGCAGAGCTAAGGCCTGTTCCTTTGGTTTTTTAGCAGAATTGAATTGCTCTCCTTTTCCTTCAAAGGTTCTTCGCATTTGCCTGTCTGTGGCTTTGTGGAGCCCAGGGACTGGTAGGATGACATGGAACAGATAGTCTAGCACCGTTCGCTCAAAAAAAATCCCGTAATTTGGGCTTTATTTCACTTTTTCTCATTAAGATTTTTATAGAAATATTTTGTTTTCTCGGGTGGCCCAGTGGGTAGTTCTGGTCCTTAACTTTATAACCACTGATAGGTCTCAAGTTTTCATCCTACTTATATAATGCAATAACTAATTCACTGTGAAACGTAGTGCAATAATTTTTCATACTATATATCACCCACTGAATATATTCATGTATATATATTTATTGTTTGTACTTTGCTGCTTTTTGTTGCCATGCTGTCTTAACTACCTCTGTAAAGTGAAATGTCTGCATGTTGTATGTATGTTGTCTTGAGTGCACTTGTCCCTTATGTCTGCACATTGAGCCTTGGAGAAACACAATTTCGTTCTGCCTGCATCCGTCTTTGTACTGTTGTATGGTGTGAATGACAATAAAGTTTCACTTCACTTCACTTCACTTAACTTCTCGTGGGATTGAGAGCTTGGATCCTACTCTGCATGTGAGCCCATGTGTGTGGAGTTTGCATGTTCCTGTGCTCCAAAGACATGCAGTTAGGCTAATTAGGGGAAATTGCCCACAGTGTGTGTGTGTGTGTGTGTGTCACTCCATTCCAAAACCCAAAAGCATGATGGGAGTAATATTTCATAGTATGAACAGTTTTAGTAGAAGAAACAGCAGTGAATGTATCCATTTTCACTGCTAAAGTATAAAATTTTGAAGTTAATGTAAGGCCAGTCCACCACTTCTTAGATTCGTTTTGGAATACAAGTCTACTTTTGCTTAAATATGAGAGCTGATTCAGCACTTATGACATGGTGAAGCTTGTTTTATTGATAATCATAGAATGTGAAGGATTATGGCAGTGGGAATGTGGTAGTGATAAGCTCCTTCCTACTTCAAGGGTGTAGGGACTGAAGATGTCCTAAAATTAACGAGGTACTGCTTCAATGGGCAGAACTTGAGCTTGACTCTGGTTGCCACTGGGAACTAACAAGGACTGATGAAGACTGACAAAAGTGTATCCTAGCAGAGCAGGTAGTGCAAAAAGTCTTGCAGTGCATACAGATTATTGATTTTAGTCATTGTCACATGCAATGGTCAAGATGGTAAGTCCAAAGGAAGAAATCTGAGGAATGGTAAAATACTTCGAAACTGGCAAAGGAAGCCTTTTCACACCCTCGTCCTGGTAATATGTGACCTGCAATTTTGTTGTTGATTATGTGGGTCCTTAGCAATTACAGACATCTGCTCTCCATAAAGTCTTCTCTGCCAGCATCAACACTGTTTTTCATGTACAAATCCCCTTTATCCACAATCGAAATATATACATAGTTGCCTTCGAGGCACCTGCTTTTTCCACTGTGTTTGCTGTGACACATTTTTGTACCTCTCCAGCCTCCTGCCAAAGGTGCCTTTCTCCGGGGGACGGGCATGGATCAATCCACTGGTCGCTTCACAGCACCGGTAACAGGCATCTACCAGTTCTCAGCTAACATCCACATTGGTAAGCACTGGTGCCTACATTAAAAAAAGAAGAAAAAAATCTTGTTGCTTTTCTCATAATGAGCAGGGAATCAGCAACGATGCAATGTCATTTTCCAAGAGTTTAATTAGTGATGATATTTTGGTAGTGAAATGAGGGGCCCCTGACTGTGACGAGAAAATATTTGTGCTGGTGTTTTAGTCATTGACAGCAGTTTATTGTTACGTGAAAAGCGATGTTTACGAACTGCTGCAGAATTCTGGAAATGAATTAAATCACATTTCATTCACAAGCAGTTTAAAAATGCACTCCAAATAAAATAACATCTGTTTAGAATGAGAATGCAGTTAGAGTCATAGCATACCGTCTCTGAAATTTCACATAATACCCACCTTCAGTGCCTGGAGACCTGCCTTGTAGCAGGGAGGGCAGCTCTTTGTCTGTGTCCAACCTTTCACTGGAATAAGCCCTTGGGACACAGCATGTAAAATTCTCCTAAGCTCCTGTGCCGCCAATGACTATGGGAACCTGCCTGGAAGATTAATGCAGGGATTCAGTGTCCTTCCTCCAATAAAACGCGCTTAGGCTCAACACAACTTGATCAGCCCTGAAAATTGCAACAAGTCTCATCAATCCTTTAACCCTAACCCCTCTTGACCTCCTTGAGGAGGTAGCGGTGAGCAGGAAGGGTAATGATCCTGTGTCCCTTGGAAGTTTCGCACGCGACGTCAGCTCGTTGTGGTTCCAAACCCGTGGGTGGGCTGCTCCTTGCTGTCCACTGGCTACTGAAAGGCCTAGCGGCAAGTGAGAAAACACCCATCCCGTACTGACGCTCTGTGCGGTTTTGTGCTTTCTGTAGACCACGGAGAGGTGAAGAAGAGCAAGAGCCAGCTGCGGGCCAGGGACAATGTGCGGGTTCTGATCTGCATCGAGTCTCTATGCCACAGATACACGTAAGGGCCTCTCTTCCGCTTCCTCCACTGCCAGGCGCCTACTGGACAAAGTCAACTGTTCTCACGTTATCTGCAAAATGTTAATTTCTTAACCGCAACACATAAACATGAAAGATTAGTAAAATATAATAATAATTATGATGGTGATGTATGGGATGGTGTGTCAGAGGGTTAGGGCTCTGTGCCTTTGTCCCAAAGGTCGTGGGTTCAAATCCCATGAGTGGTAGAGTAATCATATCACTGTTGGGCGCTGGAACAGGACCCTTAACCCCAACCGCCCCAGGGGTGCAAGATGCTCTTTGACCCCAAGCCTTCCTCTCTTGTACGTCACTTCAGCCAAAAGCATCTGCTAAAATAAGTAGATTTAAATAATATTTATTTTAAGACAACAAGGTGATACTGCAATCAAATGCAATTTCTTAAGGGGTGATAAAATAAGATGTTTCATGAGTATCCTCTGTGAATTTTCTGAATTGATTTTGGCGTGACCCTCAGTGCAAACCACTTGGAGGAATCCTTAATACTTGTCCTGTTTGATGTCAATTGAGACTTTGTACATTAGCAGCCCAGATGATTATCTGCAATTTCCCGGTCTATGCTTGCATTTCTGAAACCCACATCCTCAACCCTAAAGTGCAAAATCTGCCTTTGACCCAGTCACCATGAAATATAATTGCTTACGATAATAACAATTATCTGTATCTTTATTTTAGCGCTTGATGTTACAGCCATGTGGTACTCATTTGCAAATATTTATGGAACCAAAAAAATGCCATCACTCCCCCTTCCATAAAGAAAATAGAAATTATAATTTTACCACGTCTGAGACACAGCAAGCTTGTGGCACCCAGACTCCTTTGGCCAGTGTGTTACTCCTGTCGACTTTTTTGTATAATTTATGAACTGTGAAATGTACCATGTCATACCCTGTGGCACCATAGGTGTTTCCTGCAAAAAAACCAAAAAACAAAATCCCAATCAGCATTATAAAAGGACGTATTCTCTCACTTCAGCATTGGTTCCTGTGACCTCTGTAACCTTTACGAGCCGACCTTTGACCTCGGGGAGCCTAGGTTGTTAGGCAGCACAGGCTGCTATAAAGTATTGTGTTTGCAGTTTGAAGAGGAGTAGGTAATTCATTTTAAAAATGAACTTTATGTATAAATATGTGCTGAGGAATGTAACATGGAAAAAGATGTACTCTGAAAAAAAAATTATTCTTATTCCTTATTTAAGACATCATATTTTTGTCTCAGCTTTAATAGGCGTCTGCCAAGATTTCTGTCACCTGTCACCCATTAACTTAAAAGTATTTTTAAATCTGTGAATTTCTACAGCTATAGCATATTACAGTTGGCGCTACAGATAGTAAACTGTTGTAAAGTAAATCTTGCAGCTCTAGTGATTCGTCCGAAGTGTGTGACTACACATATTCTCGGAAGACATTTATATAAGCATATTTTCTGAGTGCACACCAAGAGAATGTGGAATAAAAGGAAATGATTTATATCAAAAAAAGAGGCACTCAGTTGAGCTTTTCTGTCTGGACTCCAAGCCTCTCTCACTCTCCCACGCTTCAAACTGAGGAGAATGTGAAATAAAACTCTTTGGGCTAGCAGTTAAAAAGGACACAAACATGACTGATTAACCATAAAAATGCAGTTTTTTCCATCAAACGGGGCCAGTGGTCTCTGCTGGAACTCCCGGTGGTGTGTGGTGATATTCGGGCTCGTCTGCCATGGGAGCTCACAAATATTTGTTACAGAAAGCTGTTCCATGTATATTTAAGTCATTTTTTTCTTGTTTTTAGGTGATGGGTAAGATTTGTTTTTTTTGTTAGTGCTTAATAATAAGCTAAAACTAAATGCATATCACTAAGTCACAATGGCATTCAGGAGAAATATGGCTCAATCACTACAAGCAGTGAATTTAAATGAAAACATATAACATGCTATCGTAGTAAAGGAGAAGATTGGCACATTTTTTCACAAGGATGTTTGCTGAACAAATGTAGGTTATAAGCTTAGAACCAGAGTAGAACATTTCACATTAGTTTTTTTCCCTTTTATCCAGTTTTTGTCTTATTTCAGCTATGTTTTGTGTCAGGACATAAGTGCATTTTCCTCTTTTACTACAACAATATAACAACAATATAACAACGATACCTACATCTACCAGCCAAAAGTTGCACACACTGAGATTTTCTACATTTGCATGTTGCTCACTTAACATTTACTAAAAATACACTTAATATTCTTTGCTGACAAATACATTTACAGTATATTCTCCATTTGAGTACCTTTATTAGCAAGAAAATGTCATATCCTTGACTGGTCAAAGTAAACTCCTCTAGCAGTTATAGCAGCAGAGCAAATGCGAGGGATTCTTTCCACAAGGGACATTAAATACTGCTGTGATTCATGGGCTGAAATAGTTAACTAGTGCATTTAAAGGACGGCCTAGAATTTGACTATGCCATCACCACACAACCAGCTAATAGGATGTCAGACATGCACTGTCACATACTATTTCCATGTTATAAAGGAAACATATTTTATTTGACTAATATTTTCATTCATAATTGTTCACTCGACCTTCCAATGCTTAACAAATATTTAAGAATCTGCAGTTTATGAAATAAATGGAAAAGTGGTAAAACCCTGTAGTGTGAAAAGGCCTTTGACTGGTAGCATATATAACCGTATCACAAGCAAAGCTTAGCTTTCCAAATTCACTGTATAGTAAATTATTTCAGAAGTCATTATCTCATAGCAGACTTGTGGTGTGGCTCATAATGAAAACACTCAGCTAATGAATAATTAGCCCAGTTAATATATCGAACAATTGAGCACAGAGAACATTACAGAACAAAGGGCAATCTGCATCAGCCCCTGTTCAGGCACTTAACCGGTAGACCTGACCGGACCTAATGGTGTCCAATCAAAAGGTCTATAGGCTTTAAGGAGTCGTGAAACAGCAAGGGACAGCAGCTCATAACTGTGAACATTATACCTCGGGGACCACTAGTTTATAGCTAATGATGAAGGGTGCGCTTCGTTCATTAACGGGAAACAGCTGCGGACCTCCAGGGCTTGCCGAAATGTAAGAACACTGGAAAGGTGGACCTCCTTCAGAAAATCAATTTGAAGATCTTTGTTGAGTTGCTGACTTTAGCTAGGGGTTTCGCTATCTTGGTATCAAATGATAACCCGTGCGAGTTGTGGTAGCTTCCAATGAAACCTTTATTCCCCCTGAAAGTCTTTCTTTGGTTGGCCTTATACAATTGACAATAACAAACCAACAGCCTCATTGCTGTATAATCAGGAGAGCTGTAGTATTACAAGACATTCTGTTTGGGCCTTGTGTATCCCGAGGAATGAGTTACAAATATATTCCACAAAGTTGGTATAGTAAACGTGCCAAAAGCCTCAGGAATAATTATTACATGCTTGGTCCATAAGACCAAGGTTGACTGCGGTTTGGCTATTTTTAATCCTAAAAGGAATCTCAAGCAATATGAAGGTACGGAGCAAACAGAAACCGAAGGAGCACAGTGAACTAGTATGAAATGTATTTGCTGGCTTAATTTACAATGGAAAACATGTTTGACTCAAAAAAAATGTCATTCTTAAGCACAGGAACCCTGTATTTTATTTCTCAACCAAACAACAAAATTGTGCAAAGCTCAGGCTGGACTGGATCGATGTGGATGCTTGCAGAAAAACAACATAAAGGTTCCCTTCATGGCTCACTGCTGTTTGAGAGTTCACCCGTGTGAAATAAAGCAATTATTTCATTAACAACAACATCTTGTTATCTTTGAAACAGGTCCTTAGAAATGATTGTGGGCTTGGAGAGCAGCAGTAGGATATTTACAGTCTACGTCCATGGCTTGCTGGAGCTACAGGTACAGTCATTAAAAATGTTCATAATTCACAAAAGATCCAGAACGCATCATGCATCATCCTTTAACCATTCCTTATTAATTATTTCTTAATTAATTATCCATTACTAAATGGGCAATTGCTGGCGCTGCCTCTGATTTTGCCTGTTAGCTAGGCTGCTTATTGACTTTATTTTTGTGTGTTTATTTAGATGGTGGCTCAGTAGGTAGCACCATAGCCTAACCCTTCCAGCGTTCAGGTTTTGTGTTGAGGGTTTGCTCAGTCTTGCTGTAGTTATGCGGTTTCCTCTCCCAGTCTTTCCTGCAGCCGTGTGCTTCGGACTTCTTGCAGCCCCATACTCCATAAGTTGCAGTTGAATATCCAATCAAGCCCTATATCCTGATCTGTCTTTGTCCCCGTTCCCTTCTCCAGGCTGGCCAATACACCTCGATATTTGTCGACAATGGAGCTGGGGCTTCCATCACGATACAGAACGGCTCAGACTTCATGGGAATGCTTATGGGCGTATAGCCCCGCAAGGCCCGGCCCTCGGAGGGGGCTGCCTGAGCCCAGTTTTTGCCTTCGCATGCACTGCATTGAACTGCTGTCCGTTGGACCCGGAGTGACCCTGCAGAGGAGGGATTAGGACATGCAGGGCCTTCCACCTGGCACTGGCGGGGGGGGGACCACATTCAACCGCTTCACCAACCTGCTTGTCTTACCAACTGCCTATGTGTCTGTGGGCCAATGAAGCTGGATGGGTCACCCTAGCTTGAATCCCCATGTGAAACACAACACAAAAAAAACTAACAGATAATTAAGTCTCTGTCTTTTTGTCTTCCGCTAAAAAAAAAAGCATAGTAATTTTACATGGGCAGCAAGGCTAACGTACAACTCAGATAATTGTTTGCTATGGACACTCCAGATGTATATAAACAAAGCTAATACTTCTCAGAAAGAGGTCACAACGGAGGCAGTGAAGTAAGTTACTAGAATGTCATTTCTCAAGCAACACCTCATGTTGGGACCTACTACTGCCATGTTGGTTTCTGAGTGTCTGTAATGTAATTCTACATCCCGTACAAAGTATTTCTTTATACTTCTGTGGAAAGGTGTTATATGGTGATTACATAACCTGAAGTGTAAACATGGGTGCTCTCCTCTGTTTGGGGTGACCTCACCCCTAAATGCCAACCTTCACAGTCCCAGCAATGAGGTCAAAGTAGGTTGGGCTTGGCTGGCATCATTTGTATCCATGATCCATGCTTATCCTGGACAATAATAGAGAAAGCACTACTACAAAAACACAAAGGAAAACAGGAATTAGTCTAAGTGTCAAAAACTAATGAAAAACAAGCAAAAATAGATGTCAAACATGAAATACAGATATGTGCACCTAGCTGAAAGATAACATTTGGGTAAATTTCTTTCCAAGACAATTAAAATTTATTGTGTAGAAAAGCCATTGGAGCTTCCAAGAATTAATGATGATAAATGACCAAATAACGCAGCGTGGCCTCTGTAAGGAATTCCACATCCTGTTCTTTGCTTGTCCAAATTTCTGATTCTCGTTCACTCGGTAAAGAATGGATCGAATATCAACTTATTTTTGTAGTTATTAAGAAGCTGATGTATTTTGTATATCCCCTAAAGACAAGCTCTGTTTTTGGTAACGTATTTCTTATTAAGTTGTGCATTTATAAACGTTGAATTGTTTATCACTCGCCAATAAATTATCTTCAGTATTTTAGATTTTCTCAATTTATTCTTACAGGTTTTAATTGGACATAAAGAGGTTATTCCACACGCACTTGACTTGTGGCTCTGGCCTTGAGTTATATTCATTATACTGGCACAGAAGTTATTGGCAAACAGAATGGAATCAGCAGCATTGCTTCTATTGCAATAAAACCACTTATGGATATTCATTTGTTTTTGAGATGAAAATATCTCCAGGCAAGACTTAACTATTTCTGTTTTTACTCAGTGTATATGTGGATTTGCTTTATATAACAGATACATAGCTATAATAAATATAAATATATAAATAAATTAACAAAATAAATGAATGTATTGTCATTGGAAACAGATGAAATAACAAGCAGCATGTGTATCTCTCACCTGTACTTTGTTATATGCATATAAATATTGTAACATCGTATTAGTTGGTTTTATATTCCTGAAAAGACATTATGATATTAAAATGATAAAATTATTACTTTAAGCACCACAAAGTTCAGGATTCATTTAGAAACTGTTATTTTACAGAGTATGCTGTTTTTATTTTGGGTGTGTATATTATTATTACTATGTCTGACCCAGGAATTGGAAACAGAGGGAATGAATTTTAATTTCTGTACCATATGAATAAAAATGTGTGTATATTATGTGTAACTAAGACACAGCATTTAGCCACGTTTGCAATTGTTTTTTGCAAGAACAGATATTGGTATCATGTCTGTCCTGAAACAAACACATTTTTGTGTAAAGATCCCACCACGACTGTAATATCACTATGATGAACTGTGTTAATTGCATTCTTCAAACATCACATTTGCATAGGAATGAAGCTGGAATTGCATTGTGGGAAATACCCTAGAAAAAGAATTCAGAAATGCTTTAGCAGACAGGAGCAGCCTGCTGATACTCTAACACAGCGACAGAGTCTTTGAAGCTGTATCTTATGAGGGCCTTTTGGTATCCAATGCCTGAACAATAACCCACTTCAGAAAGATGTATGTGTTTTCAGCATCACGGTTTCTGGCGCTTACTAGGTGTCAGTCTCCTCTTCTGTTTTCACTCATTTGTGCTGGCAACAGTTTGCTTGCCGTGAAACAAATCACTTCTGAAGTGAAAACAATAAGATCCTCTTAGAGGTGGGGGTGCTGCCTCTTGTGCACTGTGACATTACAGCCACCCTTAACTTGATATATGTAGGTGGAAAGCCTTTCTACTCTCTGAGTAAAATATTCAGTTGATAGAATAATAATCCATGGTCCCTGAAACCCGCTTCAAGATGTTAGTCATTTCAATTTTACACCTTTTTAATGCGTATAATAACCAGGAGTGTTTCCAGATTCTTATAAAGACATACTTCATTAACGTTATTGAAAACTATTACATGCCCAGGCAAACAAATCAGCCTTAGCAAGTGGGGTTTGTCTAGAACATTTGATAAAAACCTACATATCCGTGCTGTTAGTTCTGCTTATGAAGGGTTAAGTTCAGCTCTCTCAGAAACAGGCCTTCACCTGTCCCAACAGTACAAGCTAGTTCTTTCACCTTGGTTCCATTCTAGATTTATTCCACTTCATTCCACAGTGAAAAAAACATACATTTGCCATACTAGTAATATACAACTATTATGCATATGTATTACTAATGTTTAATATACAAAAACATGTCCTGTACCTTGTGGATTACTATTATTAAGATAATAACTGTTTTTTGCAATTTTATGTTGTGTGAGTCCTATATCTTTAAGAATTCTATGCAAATTGATGTAACAGCAAGCTATGCTTTGAAGTTCGATACCTCTCCATTTCTGTCACCGCAGTAGGATTACCCATCTCACCCAAGTTGTTCTGTTCATAATTGATAATGATTTTGTTTTCATCCTGGGTGGGCTTTTTATCGCATGGTTCACATAAGCAACTTTTAGCCTTTGCCATCCAAGCGCCGGTTAGCCTGTTAGCATCGACACTTGAATGCATTAATGGGAGTTCCTTGTGGGGGCATTCCTGAGAAACACACTGCTCCGAGACAAAACATAACAGATGAAGAATGTAATGTCCAGATGCCATGCAGGGATTTTGTGCCCAGGCTCCTTCAGTGATTTTCCATGTCTGTCATGGTGTTTTATGTCAGTAAGCTATGTTTTTTCCCCCTTTGCAGAGGACAAACAGAATTTGATGGGAGTCAGAGTGAACGCAGTAATCAGAATCAGAATCTTATTTTTCATCAAGCTTATTTACTTTTACGATAATTTGTTTTGCGCAAGCTTCCAAAGTAACATAGAATTAAGGATGCAGGGCCAGGCAATCCCTGGAGCAATAGAGGGTTAGCGGCCTCCTTCAAGGGCCCCCCAGTGGTCAGGGGGGGATAGTTCAGGTCCAGAAAGAAAAAATCCAGACCAAAAGTTTGTTTCAACCGGCCAGTTGAATACTCCTTGACTGTGACTCTTTATGCTCAACTGGTTAAACCTGGTCTGGATCTGAACTACCTACCTAGCTCTGCCAGTGGTATCATTCTTCCAGCCACGGGATTTGAACTGGCACCCATATATTGAAGCATATGGATAAGAATGTTATACCAAGAAGGTTACATACATACAGTTGCATTATTTTGCAGACACTAAATAAAAAAGCAACGTACAGTTCAGAAAGTAAAGCCACGCACTGCGTATTAATGCTAAGGGCCTTGCTCAAGGGACCAACAGTGAATAGAATAGTGATGCTTTATTCTTTCCCGCTGGAAAATTCTCTTTTCGACCTACCCCATCTTACTCTGGGGGTCACAGCATGGGGTCAGGCAGCTTGCAACACAACCTGGAGCAACTAGGGGGTTAAGGGTCTTGTTCAGGGGCCCAATGGTGGCATCAGTCTGGCAGCCCTTGCATTTTTATCAGCAACCTTCCAACCACATGCAAATAGTTCTAGCCTGCTAAGTCACAAGCCACATGCACAAATCTATATACATACAGCTGCATATGAACATGACAATGTTATGGAATGAAAGTACTTCAGTCACTAAAGATCAAAAGTTGCAAAGGTTATTATTACTCATAAAATTAAAAAGAAAAAAATTGGAAAGAGCTTGATAGAAGCCATCACATGGAAAATTAAAATCACCCAAATGACCAACGTCTATGAACAGTCATGCTTGGTGTACTGCATTCAGCATGTTCTGGATTTCAAGCGAAATAACTGAAGTAAGTAAAATAAATAGCAACACGCAGAGCTGCTATGTCAGCAGGGACTGCACACCGGCACCACGGAGTCCAGTGCTGTGTCATACTGCCCATTCCGCATTGCGGTCAGATGTGGCACTCTGAAAACAGGAAAGCACGCGCACGCGCATCATGGCGCCTCCGGTAGCGTTCGTCCCGCAGACGCTAAGGGAAGGTGTCATATTCCGCGTCCATGCCGAGTCCCACCAGGCATCCTTGCATCCACAGGTGAGCAGGTGTGGTTCTCCAGGACTTCGTCTGTGGGCCGAGCACGAATGAAGCCTCCATGGCTGACGATGTAGAGGCATCACGCCCTCGTCTGGAGAACATGAACCTGCACCGTCCACATGCCCGGATGTACTTCTATGGCACAATATTTGGTGGGAGGGAAACAAGTGGCATTTATTTGGATCAGAGGCAAATGCTGGCAAGGGCACGTAGGGCAACTTCTGTTACCTTCAACCAACACCCCCCCCCCCCCCTCCAATCTCCCTCAGTTGACAACTTTCCACTGCAGCTTAGTTGACATGTTTGCATGTTTTCATCCGAGACAAAGTGAAATTGGAGTTTGCCGACATGGGGGGGGGGGGGGGCGGCACCGGCGGTGAAGCTTGCCTGAGGCGCCACGAGGGCTCAGACTGGCACCGGTTTCCATCGACTCCGACTACATGCGTGCATCTGTACGCGCGATTCCCACGGAGCCGGCGTGCATGGGTGACACACCAACAGGTTGCCTGCGAGCGGGTAGGAGGAGGCCTGACGCCATGGGGATGGATTTCCGAGGATTACATTGCACAGTGATTCGGGCCTTCGGGCGAAACACTCCTAATTAATGACACTTAGCTGGCTCTCATTGGACAAAGTGATCAAGGATTATTATAAATAAGTGGTTTGATGAAAGTAGAGAGGAATGGATGAAGCGGGAGAATGGTGAAACACGAGTCGGGATTGTTACCGTGGGGAGCAGAGAATCTTTCATTAGGTTGTTCATCTTGACGTGCTGGATTAAGTTGCTCTCTAATTGTTTTAAGTTGGCTCATCCTTATTAACCACCATATAATTTATATATGTAATATCTTTAATAAATGTTTTGAATGTATTGTTATACTGTATGTCCAGTACATGTTCCCACCCATCACAGACTTCCTGCCTCCTGAATAGCCATTTATAGTAGACAGTTGTACTGTTAAACCACATAGAGCAGAATACAGAACCCCATAGCAGCTCTTTCAGTTTGGAGTTATTCTTTTTAATCGTAGCTGCAGGCCTTCGGGTCTGAAAACATTTATAATGTCCGATAGCAATGTAGATCAATTCCAGATAAATGAATATTCTTCTTGAAGACAGGCTGACACGAAACAAAATGTTAACATATCGGTATAAGCTTGATTTGCAAGACATAAAATGTCATGCAGTAAAACGGAAGTCTGAGGCTGTCTGATTTGATGCGTGTTGCAGCAGTACCTAAGCATTTTGATCAAAAAAGCTACTGTTTCACTGAAAGATAGCTCTAAAACATTTACTAAAGGGGTACTTTTAATGTGAAAGGATTTGTTAGTAATAGATGTTGCCCTCAATGGCCCAACTAGCATGTATTGTTAAACATTTCCAATCAATAAGTGAACTTGTAGATGTAATAACAGAACCCAGATTCTCTATGAGCCATTGTTGCTCTTAAGTTTCTGTTCTAAAGCATCTTGATACTTGAGTGATGACACAGTAGAATGTCTTCACTAGTGCACCCTTACCTTGCCACCAGTATTTTTATAAGGTCAAACCTTATAAATGCATAGAAGTTGGTAATAGTCTCATGAAAAGATGAGAGAATTAGACTTTGCCTCATTGCTTAACTCAGTTATTTTATTGTTACTTAGCGTCACTGCTTAATTTTTAAAGTTATTTTGTCTTTTTACTTAAGACACCTGTCATCTAATGCAACATATCACCCTTATATAAGTAATCCACATAATGTCCATCAAGTCAATGTAGTACGAGCTAATAAACACCCATTAATGATACTTTATTATGATGAAAGTTTTATTTTTTGCCATTGGGCACTTTGATTTGGTATTATTGTTTATTATCAGAGTAGCTTACTGTTATTTGTTACTTTTTTGGATGTCAGTAAGTATTATCTATTGTTAAAGCATTTAGGCCAAAGCCAGATTCAATGCTATTTACTATAACTGCTAGTTTATAACCTTTTGGGGTGTCTGCCTCTGTGGGTTAGGACTTTGTCTATGATTGGCTGCTGGTTCGAACTCCATGGCTGGGACAGTGATGTCACTGCTATGCCCTTCTGCAAGGCCCCTGGCTGAAGGGATCTTCTCCGACCCTCATTTTGCATGTCGCCCTGGACAAAGGCATCTGCTAAATAAATGCTAATTCTGCCATTTCTCTTCTTTCTGCATCAATAATCTCTTGACCTGAAGCGTCTGCTAAAATGCACGAGTCTA